GAGTTTGGCATGGTGAGTAATTAAGGGGGGTCATGAACGTTTTAGTTCTGGCAATGTTTTGACCTCTTTCAAATATGTTATTATATTATAGAACATGGAAATTTTGGATTATTACGTGGCTACAAGTTTAATTACAGGAGATTTTGCACTATTACTAACGTCGTAAACTAAAGATTTTTGTTGTTGTTTAACTGATATTGTACATACCATATTTATACACTTGTACTGTATTTTATATAAAATGGGGGGGGGTCACAAACGTTTTTGGTCTTTTCTTGGGGGCATGTAAGTTTTGCTGTTGCCAGAGGGGGTCATGTACATATTGAAAGGGAGGAGGTGTGAAATGCCGCCCCCCCCCAAACCATAAATAATGAACACTCCCTTAACTGTTCATAGGACTGCACAGAAATTGCTTTACTCAAATTAAGTAACAAATTCAACACAGTTTAATTATATATACTCCTTGTTTTTGTATTTTGTTTAGGTGCTTCTTGATACTGTAATAGTTCAATCTTATTAATGCCTAAATAAAAAGTAAATTTTTTAACAAGGCATTGAACCAGATTGACCAGAAAAAACATGTCTATACTTTGTAACAAATTACTTCAAATAACGAAGTAATAAAGAGTAATCTAGTATTATTTTTTCTCGAATTCAGAGCAATTATGGCCTCAAGGTGTTTATACTTTGCCAAAAGCAGCAAGTGGTTGTCCTGGTTCTACAAACTTCACATGGAAACAAGGCTGGATATTTCAAGATCTAGATGACACAGATGTGATCATGACTAAAACTTCAAGATCTTTCAACATGGCGGCCAAGATTGATGACTGGGGCAATATCAAGAGATGGTTCTGTACTAAAAATGACGCCACACACAATGAAGAAAAGATAAGACCAGTATGGCCAAAAGGTTTGCTGCAGTTATTTTAGTATTCCTTTATCTATTTTTTATCTTTGATTGTTTTCGTTTCACAAAAAGCTTCAAATTAAAACAATTAAACATGGATGTCCTAATACAGTTCAATTGACAATTGATGCGTTTCGTGCAACTATAGTCTGTTCATAAGACATAATACAGATATCGAAGGGACTAGACTGAGTTCCGAAATACTACCTGCTCAAACCAACTTGCATAACCTCGTACCCGTTGGTAGAGCAGTTGGGTTGCAACGTTTCAGCTTTACTGTATATGTATATATCATCTTGAATAACTTCACCTGGCTATACACCTGCATGCACAATCATTAAATTCTTGATTACATTAGTCGCATTTAGTCGGGTTTATGTGGGAATAGATTGCGAATACATGGAGGTGGGAAAAGTGTTGAGATGCCAGGAATAATCAGAAAATTCACGTTAAATATAAATTAACATTGCCTACAAGCCTACATCGACAACATTTGTGCTTTCCCCCAATAATTTCAATTATCAGAACTATACTCCTTAATTTCTAACTGTGAAGGTTGGTTTACACCGATCAAAGTTTCTGTGATGACGGTAGAATTTTGCATAGGTAAATTCTAAGTTGGAAATTATTTGTAAGAAATATTTGAAAGAAATGACTCATTTCATTGAAACCGGCTCATTGAAATTTCATGGTGTAAATTAGGGTAAAAATCTAGGGTTCGACAAAGTCACACGTCCATGTTTTGACCACTGACAGCTATTTAGCACGTGTATAATCGAATTTCTCAGTACGTGGCGATCCCATATGGTGAAGACTTTAATTAAGGTAAGCGAAACTATAGTAGTATTAATTATGCATTTATTTTATCTGTTTCAACTTTCAGGGACTTACTGCATCTATTCTGCTGCAATCTCCCCTTTTAAATGTCCAAAGAGTGAAGGAAGATTGTCGTTCGGATATGGATACTGGGATAACCAATACTGGTTGAATGACAGTGAGATGAAGGGTGTGTTACCTGGTGGTAATTTTGTTCGTGGAGGAAGAACTACAATATATTTCTGTTGCCAAGGAAGCCAGGATCCTAACATCCCAATGTCATTACCAATTGATCAACCATTCTACCTGCTGGCTTTTAAATCTTCAGTTTGTCAGAAAGTGGAGTGGGCAACAGTTAGTCCAGAATTCATTCTTTATGATACATCAGATTACAGAAATAGCGATAAATTCACACCTTTCTCGCCATTCAACGCCACAAAACATGATCCAAAGATACATTACTGTTATTATGAAGGTTGGTTTTCTTTAGTAGTAAATCTATTTAATTTGCCTAAACCAAATTAAATGAAACTAACTTTATTTTATACTGACTGGTCTATCAGTTCTAAACTGTTCTCCCTAGTATTAAGTTCAGGAAATCGTCCCTACCAAACACCTCAGGTGGATTCCCTGGACTTCAACTAAAGTCAATGCGCTAACGACACTGTACCACACTTAACTGACGTAGAACTAACATGATTTTGCAAAGGTTAATATCCTTTTGTGGTTTCCAAATTGAGTTGACTCACTTGGCGCTCGTGCGCGTTGAACAAGACCGATCCCCCGGTCACTCGGTCAGTGGACATCCAATTTGTCAGCCAAGTAACTGAAGTATTTGACATTTGGACCCTTCACCTCCCTTGATAACAAGCACTACATGTTAATGTCGTTGTTTATATTTCTGCATTTCAGGTTGCAACCACACATTAACTTACGATAATGAAACAGAAGTTGAAATAAACTTTCCAGAATCACAACATCTTGACATAACCAGTCAATCCTGTTCCTGGAGCATTAGCTACCCCTCTGACTACATTATTTTACTCAACATCATATCACTGGATATACCATCTAACAACTCTGATCACTGCAATATACAGTTCCTGGAAATATCTGGTATAGAAGGAAATGTATCAATTATCAAGTTATGTGACAATTATCAACAATATAAACTTCGTTCTCAGTCTAACTTGGTGTCGATAGTCCTCAAGCTTGTCAACAACGTCACAAAAACCACAGGATTTCGTGTCAATTTTAAAGGCGTCTTAAATAGAGGTATTAAAGCATAATATGTTTTAGTGGCTTTCGTGGGTATTAAAGATTTGGCGCCGCTAAAATAGACGCAAAAAGCCCGTCTTAAATTATGCAATTTGTCAGATTTACAAAGACGAGATTTTAGGTCAACAGGCGCTTTTCAATCACGATGAACTGATTTTCAACCAATTGGAAACAATTAATGACCTTGTGCGGAAATATCACCAACCGAAGTACATGGGCAAACTATATAATATGAAGTACTTCCTCATTGAGACCCCATGTGGAAAGGACGAAACATAATTACATGTATGGTGTGGGCAATAGACAATGTCATGCATATTCCGGTCCCTCCGCTTTCTACGTGGTTCGATATACTGACGTCATGCGTACAGTGTATGTGGTGTGATGTGTCTTGTTGTGTGTAGTAAAAGGCAAGGAGGAGGGAGATGGGGGGAGGGGGTGTAGTGCAACCATATGTGATTACAGAGCACAACGTAAGGAGGAAGGGATTCCATGATTTCTATAACACTTCTGAGACTACTGAGAGGTCCATTCTGGGTGGCCAGGGCGGGATCCCATAGCGCGGCCTCTTGAGGCTTACGTTACTCTGTTTCCAGGTAATTTCCTAATTTTCCCGGCACTCCATATGATTTTTGAAATCTTAATATTTAATTTAATACTACATTATGCATTATGCCTTTTAGGAGGTGACTCATTTAAAATATACAACGTATACACCAATTCAAGAAGTGTTTGTCAATTGCATCAAATGACCATCTTCGACTTGCCCAGTGTACATTGAGCATATTTTTTACCTGGACTGCAGATAGTAAACTTAAAGGGGCTTACAGCGGTTACCAAAACAAATGTATACAACAAAACAACAACATCTCTATAACAATGGGTAACTGTAGTTCAAACTCTTCAATAATCTGGACTTGTAACAACAGAACTCTAAAAGCTGGAGTCTGGTATCTATCTTGGAATATTCAAACTGATGAGATTCAAGTCACGAAAATTGTGACAGGTCGTGAAGCATTGTGGGTACTCCTTCATACAGATAACAGTGTCTGTGATCATCCAGTTCGACCAACTTCTGGCACCCCGCCATTTGTTCAACCAACAACACCACCCAGAGAAAGACATTCAGGTAAATTCTATATCTGTAGGAATAGGGTGAATGCTCCATACACATTTTTGGATAATTAACACCCCTTGTTACCACTGCCAGAGAAAGCATGCACAGGCAGCGTTGTATAAAATACTCCTTACTGAAATAACGCGTTACTAATTCTAATTTTGTAATGGAATTAATGTTAATTACTTTTATAAAGTAACGAGTAACATTGTGCAGAAAGTAATTTTGCCTTACTTCTGCGTACTTTCTTTATTTTCCAACCTTACCAATTCTGGAACTGATTTCAGAAGGAAATGGCTTTGAAGTTAAACATCTGTTCAGCTGTTGACGGTTAAGCACTATATGTAAATGTCGTTTTTAATTCTGCATTTCAGGTTGCAACCACACATTGACTTACGACAACGAAACAGAAGTTGAAATAAATTTTCCAGAATCGCAATATTTTGACTTAACCAGTCAATCCTGTTCCTGGAGGATTAGCTACCCTTCTGGCTACATTATTTCACTCAATATCATATCACTGGATATACCATCTAACAAGTCTGATCACTGCAATACACAGTTCCTGGAAATATCTGGTATAGAAGGAAATGTATCAATTATCAAGTTATGTGGCAATTATCAACAATATAAACTTCGTTCTCTGTCTAACTTGGTGTCGATAGTCCTCAAGCTTGCCAATAACGTCACAAAAACCACAAGATTTCGTCTCAAATTTAAAGGCGTCTTAAATAGAGGTAAAGCATGAATGTGGCTTTCGGGTCTATTTTAGGCGCCATAAATACTGTTGTATCTGTTAACGCGTTAATTTGTTGTTATATTGTTTTAACGATTTAATACTTTAATTTGTGTGTTATATGATTTTATTTTGCAGGAGTTATTAAGATTTTGAGTCTGTTGATAGAAATAAGTATCATAACTTCTTATCTCCAGTTAAGGGAAAACCAGATATATCTAATTCACGCACATGGGCGTACCGGAAGGAAAAAATTAGGGGGGCGGAAAGAAAATTGCCCGAGTTTTCGGGATTTTGCCCGACTTTGGCGACCTCCCCCCCCCCCCCGTCGCCAAAAAAATTTCGGTCTTTAGGGGTCAAAAAAATTTTCCGGACAACCAATATGCTCGGAACATACACAAAATTTTCGAAAATCACAAAATTTGCCAAAAATTGATTTAATTTTAGACAAAATTTACGAATTTGTCACATTTTTTTATTGCAAGCCAAAATTGCCCGACTGTTGATCGAATATTGCCCGACTGCCCAAAAAACTGGGGGGGGCTGCCGCCCCCCCCGCCCCCCCCGCCCGGTACGCCTATGTTCACGCAGAATCATTATCATAGCGACAACAACGATCGCTGGCGTGTTTCTTAGCATCGTGCTTATTGCCTTTTCAATAAAATACAAACAGCGGAAGCAGGCTTCAAAGTCATCATCTCCTGTCAATATCCCACTGTCAGTCGAAACTCCACGTGAGCCATTGCCAATTGATGAGGTAATTAATTATGGTCATAGTGTTGGTAACACAGTGAATGCTCGTTACATTTAGGAACAGTTTGTAACTGATAAAGCTATCCAGTATAAATAAAGTTAGTTTAGTTCAGGTTTCCTCCTGTAGTAGCACTGGATCAATAAGAGATGACCTTTCGAACTAATAGAGCTTCAGTATATAATATAAAGTTAGTAAAGTTTAGCAGTAGTAAAACTGGAAGAATAAGAGATGGACTGGACCTCTTTGACGGGAAAACAGTTTAGAACTAGCTGATAGAGCAATCCGAAATAAGTTGCTTTATTTTATACTCAAATTACGAGGGGTAATCCGGTTTTTCTCACCTGCATGGTTTTACTCTCCTACACGTACTGCAGGGTTTTTCTCCAGGCCAGTTTTTTTTCCCAACAAAAACTAACTTTTAGAATTAGTTGTCAAGTACATACACCGGGCGTTTCTGGTTGGGATGAGTTGGGCAACCAATTCACGAGCCGGTCCTTACTGACTATTTTATTTGGCCGCGCTTTTGGTTCTATTTGCTCGCAACAAAGATTGTGAAACCAATTACTTTCAATGATATATTTATTTTCTTACTTGTAGTCTTATATATTACTCAATAATTAGCGTCTCTATAACTTTCCTTAATATATATAATATAAGTCTTAATAATGTTCAAACTTATCTCTTTTCACGACTGAGCACAACTCTTCAAATCCTAACAATTCTTTATCTTTAATATATCTTCGCCTTTGTATAATCCTTTTAATTCTTTCTTTAACTTATAATTATCATTTATGTACTGAGGCCGAGGGAAACAGTGTATTTTGTGGACCCGAGACCGCCGTTGTTGTCGAGGGGCCACAAAACACACTGGTTTCCCGAGGTCTCAGTAAACAAGTGTTTTGTTATATAGTATATAAGTGTCAAAGTATGAATAATTCACCAGTTATTGGAGTGAACTTAATTTGAAGCCCAAACTGGATAAATGGAACGCCGTAAATGTTTAGTAAAAAGTTTAAAAAATGAACTTTGGAACTTAATGGTTGACACGCATGCGTATTGCACCCATTTTATTATTGACCGGTCAATAAATGTTTCACTTTGGACCGGTTGCCGAGCATGACGTTTTGTGGACTGGCACGTGATGCGGTTTTGACCAATCGGCAAAAAGAAAAATTGAACTATATAACAATTTCTATATCTTCACGGGGATGTTATTCAGGCTTTCCCTTTATTAATAATGCATGATTGTCTAGTTGTGCTCAGGCTTTCATATACGCTCTTCTAGGCGAAGAAACTACAAAACTATGACTCATTTCCCCTACGCAATACAGTTCGTTGAAGCAAGTTTCAGTAACCCGGCACAAATCGGCCAACGCCAAACCGAGTCATGTCCGCTACGTTATAGTTGTGGGACAACTTAATTTTGAAACTATTTGCTTACTTATGCAAGTATAATAATATTTTAATATATGCAAAATTACATGATAAGCATTATCATATAACAATACTAAAACTGTCTGTACCAGTGTAGGTAGTACCAAATACCAATGTGAATGATTCGGCTACTAACTCTTGACGAAGGGCCTTCGCTCGAAACGTCGAGTTTCTGCTTATTTTTAAGGTAGTAATATAACCACTCAGCACAGCATTTTCATGTAACAATACCCTGTGTCATCAACATTAAGTAAGTGATTATCATTGTTAACAGGAGCCAGGTTATGAAACTGTCGGGAATGTTGATCAAACGTTTTACGAAGACGTCGACACAAATGCAAACGAGTCTGAAGGCACATCAGCTGAAGGTCAGTATTATACTTATATCATTCCACCAATATGATCAGTAGCGTAGCCAGCCCGACGATTTAGTCCCGCTATGCAAATATTTTTGTGTTCATTGACTGTGAAAACAATCAATTTCTAAAGAAATGAATAATGATAATAATTTTGAATTTGCATAGCGGGACCAAATTGTCGGGCTGGCTACGCCACTGAATATGATTGTGTAATATTTGGTCATTCGAAGAAGAAATGAAATGAAGAGGAATATGGAGAGGAAATGTTTATTGTGCATTAAGGTTTAAGGTTTAAGGTTACAAACTCTTCGGAGTTTGTTTCCTACTTTATCTCATGAAGTTATCGGCTGGCAACGGATTTCATCATTTTACATTTTATTGATTACATTTTATACAGTATATTGAGGGACTGCATGGAGCCCATTTTATCCTCCAGTCGCGAGGCAATATATGAAATTATTATTTATTTAAAAAATTTCTGGTTTCTGATTGGCTAACAGCTAACAGCCAACTGTGAAATTGTCATATCAACTCAATGGCTAACCAAATATGGATTTTTTGCATTCATATTAGCAAAATGACGTCAAAGAGTCAATATGAAAAACATTTGGACGCGTTTGCGCCATATTACGATGACGACGAGAATATCATATTGACTCGCAGACGCCATTGGAGAGTTTAAGTTCGACTTCCGATACCAATACGGATACTAACAACATGTCATGCGCATGCTCTGTGCTCGCAAGAAGCACGAGGACAAGTGTACTGGAAGTCACCACTACCGAAGTTGGCCTTGTATAGGAAGTCGGGGGAATTGTAAGATAAACTCATATAAATCGGATATTTCATAATTTTTTCGATAAACATGTAAACTATTTGTTTATTAGCATCGCCTGAGTCATGTTTTAGTCGGAATTTTAGCTCAGCTGCCTTTTAGTATACCGCACATTTTCGGTGACGAATAATGTCTGTATACTTTATCTGTCGTGATAACTTAACGCTTTAAAATTCCCGGTACCAAAATGAGAACGGAAGTGAAAACATCGGTATCGGTATTGGTATTGGAAGTCGAACTTAAACTCTCTATTGATATGACGACGACGACGCAAATTTTTTTCCGTAGACAGTCGGACTCCTCATTGATAGTCGGACGCATCATTGACCCGCGCCCTTTGACAAAACATTCAGCGGATACTCTTCTTATTAGTGCTTCCCAGTGTGTCTTGCGCACGCAGTTGGTGATTTTAAAATATTGCATTGCTTGGTTGAGATGTCAAGATCTGAGTAGGACACATTGTGGCTTCATATCTTGTGTGGCGATGACATCTGACAAATTTTACTAAGTTATATTCGCCATTCCCACTTGCGGACATTGGTGTTTGACAGATTATGATTAATTAGCGTCGCTGGGAGAAAAAAAATATATTATAAAGCATACTAAGCATAATATTAAAAATTAAAAGTCTTGAATGATATTTCTTTTATAGTATCAATTCGTAATATTGTCTTGGTAATTAGTTGTGGAATTTAGAACGAGGCAATAATATCTCATATATACGTATCCAGTGAAATAGTGGCCGGGCTACATGATGTGATATTACTAGTGGACGGGTATTCTGCAATACTTCTATTTGTTTTTAACTCGCAATAACAGTTCTTGAGTATTTTCGGAACCAGAAAAACAAGTTTGTAGATTTACAATGGTATCGCGAAGCATATCGTTCATCTTTCCGGCGTGGTCGAAGAACAACGTGGAATGATGGATATATGGTGCACCAGTGGGTTACACAGGGTACGAAGGGATCCATCGATAACGCGCAGAGGCCTGGACGCGGATCAATGATGCGTCCGACTATCAATGAGGAGTCCGACTGTCTACGGAAAAAAAATTTGCGAAGACGACGGCTGCCGAAGGACTAAGTAATTGTTTTTTTCTTAATACAAATAAAATACAAATGTTTTGAATTTTTTAAATAAATAATAAAACAATTATTGAATTCGGTTTTCGCACAATATGAAGAATTATCCGAAGCCCTCAGTTTGCCGTTATCAATTCCCTTCGGTTGATAACGGCAAACTTCGGGCTTGATAATTCTTCATATCGTGCTCAACCTCATTCAATAATTGTTAAAGGGCATATTGGGGCAAACGCTACATCCCAATATAGTGTTAAAAAATCCCTGTCAGGAATCGTTTGAGCAGGGTAATTCTCATTCTCGCTTCACCGTGGCTTCATATAATCGTCTTTTGTTTTCAAAGGCAGGAAATCATTTTATGAGGAGGTTGAAGTACCACGTACCAAATGCACACGTGAATTCCGGGTACACTGATATCTTGAGAAATGGGATAACAGACGATAGTGATTATAAGCGTTTGAAGGAAGGTGGCGGATATGTAATACCAGATCAAAAAGAAACCTATGAAGAACCCAAAATATTGCCACAAAATCCTGGTTATGCTGAACTTAATAAGAACAGACTCAAAGGCAGAACGGAAGACGGTACTTATCAGAAACTTGTAAAACAAGACTCAAATTATGTTATACCAGCTCGTGAGAGAAGAGAGTCATATGAAGACATCAAAATGGGAAGGAACTTACCAGGCTACGAGGAGTTGGATCTAAGCAAACGCAAAGCCGAGGATTACCCTACTTACCAAGAGTTGGTCAAGACCTAAACTGCCTGACATGGATTTACACATGGATTTGTACTTGACCAAAAAGTATTGACGAACGCTAGCTTCCTCCCCATTTGCACATTCCACTGCGCTCCTGGTTCCTCATGCCCTAACACAGGGATCACATATTAGAGATAGATATTGGGGCCGGTTTTATTTAATATAGACGTTGCCGACCTTCAAGAAATTATCGACGCGAAAAGCCATCAATATGCTGACGACACAACAATCTATGAGCATGCCAAGGTCAAACATATTCATAGATGTAGAGAAACCATATCTGATTCAATGAAAAAACTCAACGACTGGTCAAATAATAGCAGTCTTGCCTTAAACCATAAGAAGACGAAAGCAATGCTTTTCTCAACTCAACAAATGTCAAGAGTCCACCAATTGGAAAATTATGAACCTAGAATATTTGTCAACGAACACGAACTAGAGCGCATAAAGTCATGCAAGTTGCTTGGCGTTCATTTTAACGAACACCTAAAATGGGACAACCATATCCGTCACATAACATCTGCCTGCTACGCCACCTTGCAAATATTAAGGAAACTTAAACATCTAGCTTCTTATTACCTTAGAAAGCAGTTAGCTGAAACGCTAATATTATCCAAATTGGATTATGCTGATGGTGTTTTCTATCCACTCCCGCAGTTTCTATCAAGGCGCTTACAGAAAGTTCAATTTGCAACTGCTAGTTTTGTCTTGGGTCGATATGTTAAAGATCAAAAGCATATCCTGGAAGTTGGATGGCTTCCAGTTAACGAAAGAAGAGACCTCAACATCCTGAAATCGAGTTTTAAAGCCATGTACTTCCCAGAGTGGCCAGAGTATCTAAAGCTAGAACGACAAACTTGCGTTCGAGAACTGCGCTCAACCAATGCAGTTAGACTAGTCGTGCCAAAAGAAACTGGAACGTTTCAACATAGTGCTGCGAAACTTTTTAATTCCTTACCTGAGAACATCAGGAATTGTACTAATTACAAAGTATTTTTAAAATTAACTAAAGAACTTTTATTCGAAAGAGCACGCCAAAACTAGTTTTTAATCCGAACATCGATTTTATCTAATTTCAACACTTAAACGTTATAGTTCATAGTTATAGAATATAGTATTTAATTAGTATTTTAACAGGGAAGAGCCATATGTATGGATCTGTTGAATAAATCGTTATTATTATTATTATTATTATTATTATTAATTCAAGCTTATATTACGTATAATAACATACCTAACATATATATGTTTAGGAAATTGATAATTTTGTAATTAAAAGTGATATTTATACGGGATTTTTTATTTGTAAAAATATTCTTAAAAAATTATCGTGTTACCATGACGACTACTTAAAATACTTCACGTTCGGAAAATAAAAAGGTTTTGTCTGCAAGGCGAGGGTTTCTGCATGCATGTATTTTCTAGTAATATTACAACTGTTCTAAAAGTTTTTTCTCCATGAGTTCTCGATAAGCTTTCTTATGATCTGCCTCAAAACTTCTAAATCGTTCACCCGTCGCCTTCACATAATACATGTAACTAGGTGGGTACGAAAAAACCCCGTTTCAGCTACTGACTCGAGCGGGTCTTCTAATCTCCAATGAAACAAATAGTTCAGTGTGCATTGTAGTTCGTGGTTCTCAGTATTCTGATATAGTTCCATCAATGAATCGACAAACGTAGAATCTGGATCTTTTTCCATTTGTTGTAAATGTTTGGGTACATCTCTGTGAACTGCTAGTTTTAGTACCCTCATTGCCTCAGCGAATTCATTCCAAACCATACGCTTACCATTCACTCGTTCAATCGCTTGTAAACCATACATTTGCCATTGTTCGTTTTCGTTCATCATGAGGCATGTCTTTGACTAGGATGACCAATTTGACAACTGTTACAGGATTCCACACAAAATCTTTCAACTTCTTGTGCAACAACGTTCGCATATATTCCTTCCAATAAATTGTAAGACGTGGTTTTACCGTGCAGACACACCATACTTGATGTAGAACTAAGCGTTGTCTAATGCAGACCTATGTTTATTACAAGACGCTTGTCGATTTTATACAGGCACTTGAAAAAAGTTCATCGAAAACCAATCTTAATCCCTCTATTGTATCACACACACGGAGGGACTCTAAAAAATGCATAGTCAGCATGTTTTGTCTGTGACGTCATGCATATAATTATGACGTATGCTAATGATTAGTGACGTCAACTCCACCACCTCCCTCCACCACACTCCGCCCTTCCTCCGCCCATCCTCATCACTCCTCATTGTATGAATATAAATTACCTCAATCCTCCTCAAAAATCCGGATCGAACGGTACCTACATTGCTACTGCAAGTTCAGAGGCACAATCGCCACATGCTTTTTATTGGTTGGATCAATTTCACACAAGAGGTTTCAACTTCTTCAACGGAGACCTCTAATTGAAGAGATGACGTATGGGAATGGATGCTGTTAAATCACACATTTGTTGAACTTCATGTAAATGCAATATGGAAGAGTCATCAAGGGAGAAAACTTAGTGGAAATATGTATGAAATGGTTTGGTCAGGTGCTGAGCGACTGGTTTGATTGTAGAACTTGACAGTTGTTGGTATAGATGGCAATTTCTTTTTGTTCTTATAGACAGACCAAAATTGTTTAGGATTCTTTCTCAGACATATTTAAAGAGTCAATGTACTCCTGGTAGTTGGAACAAATGAGTGACTTGCATTGTTGGCAAAGAGATTGATATTTTTCACGATAATAAGTACTATTAGTTATTATAGCTTTTTTCTTTTTTCTGACAAGATGCATGATTGGGCCGTTAGTCCAAGGTGGTGCATTTATATCTCTCAGCTTGGTTTTGGGAATATGAGAATCAATAATTTCCATTAGCTTGTTAAACCAATCATCATAGGCGACTTCAATGGTTGAATGTTCATAAATTATATCACTAACTCCCGGTTTAGATGCCATGCTTTTCATGAGCTTTTTCATGAACTTAATTCATATTTTACTCAAGTAAAATAGGCGAACTTCTAATTTTGATTTAGACAGGCGTGCTTTTCATGAGCCAAACTTAATTGATTAGTGCTCTTTCGCTTCGAATACTGGGGTGAGTTGCATGTTATAACAAGAAAAATGGCGTGAAAATTGAATTGTTATCTCACATTTATGATCTTGGCATTTCTGAGCATTTGTTTGTGGTTAAATTTAGCGACTTAATCAGCTTTTTTAACAGCTAATACAAACAAAACATGATGCCTGGATGGAACAGGGAAACACGGGTTAATTTCCTAAGAAAACTTCCAGCAAAAAACAAAAGACGGAGAACAAATAACCAGTGGCGTAGCTAGGCCTTCATTTTTGGAGGGGCGAACCTCACACCGAAGGCATGAGACCGTCTAGGGGGGTCCGGGGTCATGCACCCCCGGGAAAAGTTTGAAATCTAGAGTCCCTGAAATGCAATTTCAAGCATTTTTGTGGTGAAATCTAGCAGAATTCCGAAGATTATAAAGTACATCGATAAATTTCCTCCATGGGGGGAGTATGGATCTTTTCTGGAACGACCCAATGTGTATAATATTTAGAATGAAGCGCACAAACACGATTATTACTCCTTTTTTCTTTTATTTGCCTTTTTGGGAAGTGGTTCATTAATAATATCAATCCAGTTAGACTTAGTTTTATAGTTTCGTCCTCCAATATTACCAGATTTAATTGGAACAATATTTGTCGTACATTAAGACCTCTGTCATTGTATCCAAGTGAAGAGCATCTGGGTTATCAGATCTTCTTCCTCGTTTTCTCGCTGATTACCAAAATATTCCTCCATCCTGCTGAAAGCGTTCTGTTAGAACACTGTTGAAACCATGTGAAAGAAGGAACTTTACAACCTCTCCACTGTTGAATGGGCTGTAATTTGGAGTCCTTCATGTGTTTGCTGAGAAATAAACATCTTAGCTTGAGCTGTCGCTGTGTATTGTCCGGGACGAGTGCTGATATTTTCTTTCCAACCATAGAAATATTGAAGGAATGTGTTTAACAGCCAAGTAAACCTTGTATCATCCTGAGATTTGTATGGAGCAAGAAATGGATTTCGTTTATGAATTCCTTCATCATATGATTGGACATTACAACAGTCAAAAAAACTTGTTCATTAATTCACAAAAATTAAGCAGTCTTGCTTGCTTCTCCATCAGGATAGCTCCGACGAAGAGGACATGCTGTGCTGTTACTAAAGACCTGATCAAATTAAAAGAAGAAATTATAAGGGGAAAAATTAAAGTTCAACTATTGTGCAATTATGACATAATGATGCAATTATTACAAATGGGCTTGATCTAGGTATTGTTAATTATAATAGTATTGGCAAAATATTGTTGCAAAAATATTGTCCCAGGAATTTTTGTCCAGACACATTCGCATGTAAATTACCAGATCAGAGACGGATTTTCAGATTTTGCTCTGGGGGAAGGGGGACCAAAAATTCAGGTGGTTGCCCAAAATTCAGGGGGTGCCAAAAATTCAAAGTACAGTCGAACCTCTATTAAGTGGCCACCCTCGGAGATTGGCTTTGTGGGTACGGTACGCAAATAATAGATCCTGGGCGTAGTGAATGCTTTTGAGGTGTAAGGTGGCATGTGTTAAAACATAGTTTTTAAGCCTTATTTTACAAATAAAGCAAATTAGCTCAACTTTTATTTTCGGCTCTCTTGACAAGGCATTGTGCCAAGTAAATCCTGCAGGCTGGTCGCTTAATAGAGGTAAAAATTGACATAAAACATAATTTGGGACCGCTCTTTGGGTGGCCGCTTAATAGAGGGATAGTTTATAGTATTTGTTTTACAAAAGTTTTGGCACTTCGATATGTGGCTGTTTAATAGAGGGTGGCCGCTTAATGGAGGGCCTCTTAATAGAAGTTCGACTGTACTGTCATTTAATCTAATGTATTTAAATTTTTGAGTGGGTGCAAATTTTTTTTGGGGGGTGTCAAACATCTCTGGGGGGGGGGGCAAAAATATTTTGGGGGTGTCCACCCCACTGAAAATCCGTCTATGATCAGAGTAAATTGTCACTTACAAGAAATGATGACATGTATATAGTTATTACATACATGTTTTTATGTTTAGGGTTGAAATGTTCCTAAATTTGTTGAAAAACATTTTTTATTTCCAGAAAGGAATCTTGTTTCCTCAACAATGTTTTCAAAGTTTGGGCAAACATGGAAACATTTCAATTAATTAGACCTAGGTTTTCAGATGCTCTGTCCACAAGGTTTCCCAATTTGTCCTAACTTTGGTTTGTCCAAGATAGTACGTCCAACTCATATTAATTGATAAAACAACAAACCTACCTGGGCAGCAAGATTAACTTTCATTTTGGCAAGGGTGGGTTGACTACAAAATTTTTGTAGTTCGCTATAACTACAGCTACTTCAAAAATATGTAGTCAGCTACAACTACTGCTACTTTTGAACAAAGGTAGTTCGCTACTGACTACAGCTACTGCTTTAAAAATGTAGCGAACTATTTCGCTATTTCGCTACTCAATATTTTCTAGTTTTACGGTATTTGGAGCATCCACTAGCTCAGGCTGTAATATAACCTATAACAAATCGACTTACGAGTAGCTACAGTAAACAAGAAGGGTCAAAGCAACATTTTAATTTGTAAGCACTACAGTATTCAGGAGTGCCACTTTTCATTGCGCTAAAATAATCTTTACTGTGTAAAATAATCTTTCAAGCAAACCGTGTCTTAATATCATTCTATTCTATATGGTAACAGGCGCAGTGTTTCTAGACCTGCGAAAAGCTTTCGACACTGTCGACCACACGATTCTTGTTCGTAAACTCAAAAATGTAGGTGTGTCTGGTAAGAGTCTGGCATGGTTCAATTCCTATCTCGGTGGCCGGAGTCAACAAACGATGTGTGGTGATGCGACATCGTCTGCTGCAAATATCACCTTGGGAGTACCACAGGGAAGTATTCTAGGACCGCTGTTGTTCCTGGTGTACTTAAATGGAGTTCAGTCTGTCCTAAAACATTCTAAGATGACAATCTTTGCTGATGATATGGCTTTTTATTGTCCCGAGAGTTCTGCTACTGATTTGCAATCGAAACTGAACTTAGACCTGAAAGCTATCTCGGTTTGGTTGCGCGATAACAAGCTCACACTGAACATTGAGAAATCAAAATTCATGATTATCGGTAGTAGCGCCAAACTGAAACAATTGAATCCTATAGAACTTGTAGTTGGGGATGAGCAGCTGGGGAATGTTTCAGAGTTCAAGTATCTTGGCGTGATTATCAATCAACATCTAACTTGGCATAATCATATCGATCAGATTCAGAGTAAAGTTGCGCAAAGGTTGGGTGTTCTCAAAAGGTTGAAGCACCTGCTCCCTATTCATGCAAGGAAACTATATGTTTCAACAATGATCACACCTATATTAGAATATGCTAATAATATATGGGGTGATAAAAACAACAATGTTCTAATGGATTCAATACAAGTATTGCAAAATAAAGCAGCCAAACTGATCTTGGATAGACCACCACGCTCCTCGTCAAACGAAGCTTTGTCGAAACTGAATTGGCTAGACCTGTCTAGTAGAAGAAAATTGCAACGTTGTGTTTTCATGTTCGATCTTATTCATGACAGTGAAAGAAACAATGTGATAGTTAGAGGAACTGACATTCATAATTACAACACACGAATGAAAGATACCATACGAAAGGAAAGAGTTGCAACTAAATGGGGAGAAATGGACTCAATAAATAGTGCACTAAATGACTGGAATATTTTACCCGTAGACCTAAGATCAATCCGTACGAGGAGGTCTTTTAAGACAGCAATTCTTAATGAACTGAAGACTAAGAGTTATGCATAATGACACTAATTTACTTGTATAGCTCTTTTAACTATATAGCTCCTTTAACTTTTAACGAGCTTCTGTTTTATACATGATTCATAATCTAATTTTAGTATATATGTAAGATGATTTTAACTCTGTTAGTATCTTTAGTATTGTTGTGTATTCTTTGTTACACAGGACCCTTTTGAAAACCACATTATGTGATATTGGCCGCCTGTATAAAGAATTTTTATAAATAAATAAATAAAATATAAATATAAATATGAACGGTTGCTAACAATTTTAAAAAGTAGCGAATAGCGCGGATTTGTTGTTTGAAAAGTAGTCAACTACTTGGCTACTTTTAGGCAAAATGTAGTTCGCTATAACTACAACTACTGTGTTAAAAAAGTAGTCAAAAACTACTGGCTACTTGAAAATTGTAGTTCGCTACAGTAGCGAACTACAACTACTTCGCTACTACCCACCCTTGCATTTTGGAATATGGAGTTAAGACAATATGTTCTGTGGTCAACTTAGGTAGTTGGTGTAACCCTAGTTCTAAATCAGAGTAATACTAGTCTGAAATGTGTTTCCATAATAAAAACTGACCATCGTTCCACATTATTCTTGAATTAATACCAGAGCCAGAATTGAGCAAACAGTTTCTAGATGTTTTAAGTAAATGAGGTGCATCGGAAAAAAACCAAATCCATCTTCCCAGAGAAAAGATTTTTTTGTTTTGTACACAATATTTGTGTCACGTTCCCACCAAAACTATAGTGTAATTGGAAAAACCTTCGATTTGGTGATGCACCATCACTTATTGCAGCAACAACTTTGAGATTTAGCTTTAGCTCCAATATAGCAACACCACAACAAAGTAGGGGGTATTATTTGATAAGAGACAACATCACATGTGAAGAAGTATCCAAGCATGAATTGCAGTTTAGTAGTAATGCCTCTAACATAGAATGCTAGGACATGTGAAGCTGGTTGAATTTCATCAAATGTTGCATAGTTAACTTGTGGATCTCCAAGATCCACAAATCCAATTAATTTTTCAGAATGCTTGTCAAATGCCAAATTGCATTTGATCTTCATTTTCGTCAAACATTACAACAACCCATCTTTCTAGATCTGTAAAGGATTTAGTCCTGGAAATCAGAGAAGCTATGTTATCTGGTAAATATTCAGCACCAGGTTGAAAGCTGTTTCTATAAGAACGCAAAGTTCTAGCACTAGGTAGTTGCAATGTTCCTGAATCTCTTAGCTCTCTGTAGACACTATGACATGAATACAATGACAAACTAAACCGAATATAGTGGGGGTGCATGCCATCTATGGCCATTCTTTGATTGTTGGTTGATAGCACTTTTTTTGCTGTTCCCACACTAGAGATGTTAATTCTTGTGATTATGTTGGTTAGTTCATCCTCAAGAGCTGATTCCAATCGAATACCATGTTGGTTTATCTCATTCTGCATTCTTTTTATTCTGCTTTCAAGCTGGGTGCACTTTAACCTTTGCTTCCTTTAAGTTAACACGTATGTCTTTCAAAGTAGCAACTAGTTTTTCCTTTGTTAGGCATGATAGTAGTGCCTTCGCTTGAGCAGGGGCAGCACTGCTATTGACAGAATTTCTGCTTGACTCATGAATACATATGTCACATGGTTGAAAATCATTTGATGTGGATGAAAACAAAACATGACAAGCTATGTGGCGACAATATTCAATTGTATAATAAGGACAAGAATCTTTTGGAATCAGTGGTACAACATGATTTTTCCACACTTTCAAATCTGGCTGTTCAGAAACAATTCCTTTGCAAATATTTTGTGATATGATTTTGCCACAAAGTGTCTTAATGCTACAGAACTGCATGGATCGCCCATTCGAAGTGTATATGTAATGATTATCTGGCAGTGCCCAACCATAAACAAGAACAGTGTATTTTAAACTGTTGTCAACAAGTACAGAGAATTTTGCAATTAATTAAAAATCCACTTTCTTTAAAGTCTATAACAGTTGTGTTTGTTACCTTGTGCTATCCCCAACCACTAAAATAAGGATAAGGAATACCCACCAGCTTTTTTCAAGTAGCTATCAAGGTTAACAAGAGAAGAATAAACCACTCGATCAGTAACATGCCTTTCAGCAGGTTCCTTCCTGGATGTATTAGCATTTGGACTTGCACCAATATTATCTAAGCTTTTTTTTGGAAGGTTTTCCGTCGGTATTGAGCCCGTTTCAAGGGATTTTCTTTTAGCAAAACATTCAATATACTCATCCTTAAAATGAATTTCGCAAATATTTATACTGTTATTTTCAATTTGCTTTTTAAAATCGGCATCCGGCTGTCTTGTGTGCAATATGGCGTCTATCCAACGCTTTCTCGCTTCTTGCTTTCTTTGCGAAGCAAACTCGCTGTCTGAAGAACGAGACACAGGAATTTGAAATAAACTTACATCTTTATACCGTCTACTATGAAAGCAACTGTAAAAAGCGCAATTTGGCATACAATTTATAGTACTTCTTTGTAAACACGCATGAATGAACTCTACATAATCTACATATATTCACATAAAACACTGTAGTCGTTCTTCATCACGTGACCATAAAATTTATGCTCGCAACATAATCATTACGTCATCTAAAAATAATTAGAAGTTTCCAAACCATCCCACTCTATTAACTCTGGTTTCAGCTTCGAGCATGTAACGTGTATCCCCTCCCCCCCCAAAAATATCTACGGATTTAGCCTTTTGTGGCGACTGCAAATAACAAATGCCATGCCACTGCAAATAACAAATACATTCATACTTTGTTTCTCTTTTACATCCGACACAAGCAGCCAATGTTGTCAAAATTTGGGAACGCATGGTGCTAATTTTCCCGCGCGCGAGCATGAAAACAGTAGAAATAATAAAATATTCATCATAATTTATGCATTTGGTACTGCTCATGTAAAGCACGGTAGTATAAATCAACATGTGCTTCAGCCGTGTAGCATGCCTGAACCAGGCAAACTTATTAATTTAGCTGTGCTTAATATTAAGTGCAGTGCTAAATGATTTAGACGCTGTGCTTCTCATGTGCTTAATTCATTGTATTAAGTTCAGCTCATGAAAAGTACGGCGTCTAAACTGGGCCTTAGTTGAGCTTGAGCAAGGCTATGCTTCAGTGCCACAAAATCAACATTTTTAAAGTTATACACAGTTCGTGGTTTCTTTTGTAAACCTGGCAGATGTGTAGTGAAGTGAAATGAGACAGGAAAATGGTCCGATGGGAATGGCATTTGTTGTATTACTTCTACGTTAGCAATAGAATCAGGTTCACTAGTGATAATAAGGTTTAGAATGTTCGCTTGTCAAAGTCATAGTAGAAACTCTTGTTGGATTGAAATTAACTTGTTGGAGGAAATGATCTTTTAATATTTCGCAAAATGCAGACTCGTCTGATGTAAGCAAGCCATCATTTTCCAACCAGGAAATATTAGGAAAGTTGAAATCCCCAAGTAAAAATAGTTTAGCTTTAGGGGGAGGCCTGATGTATTCGATAGAAATGTGTCAAATTTATCAATGAATGATGAGCTGCTATTTTGTGGTATATAGAAAACATATATTATAAGGTTTGGGCTTTCAGCTAAACTTAATTCAACCGCAACCATCTCTGTGTTACATTCCGGATCTTTTCGCCGTTCAATGCTCTGTTTGACTGCAAGGAAACACCACCTCCGCGTTTACTCGAGTCTCTATCCTGACGGTAAATGGAGTAGCCATGACTTAAGATTTCAGACTCTAATATATTATCATTCAGCCACGTTTCCGTTATACAGCAACAACGTCATAGTCCTCAGAATAGACAAAGTTTTGAAAAAGATCAAGTTTACACATTTTAGAATGATCATAGGGCGTTTTTACAAAAAACGGCTTTGTGCATGGAGGGGAAGTTTCCAGTTGTTTGAATAGGTCCAGGATTAGTTTAGATATCACTCGCGAAAAGCAATAAACTTAGTGCTAGAGAAGATCTCCTGAATAACTAGTGGGCACTCAGACTGCATACCTCCGCCCGCATTGAATTTCGGTCATGTGAAATGCAACTAAGACCATAGATAATGAAGGCTGAAGCGTAATGAGGTTTATCATCTCATTGTCTTAGTACTGCGTGCATACATTATACACGTCCTAATTACGCATTCAGTGAGTTTTTTTTAATTGACCGGGAAAAGCAAGATAAAGTTTTGTTCATTTCTCGTTCAATTTTTAACCAAATTCAACCAAATTTTAATCAGTTTTTCCTTAGCCGATGGGAAATGCATTAAAAAAATTTCGTATGAATATGTTTGGTATTTCTTGAGTTATCGTGCTCACAGACAAACACACACACATACACACATACTATGATTACTGTAAACGTTGCTTTTCACTTTTAAGTTCTCACATCTTCGATTTCAGATCAGACATGCCATGACGTCTTAGGGTTTCATTTGTCTCTCTTAATACTGTGTTTTCATTGATTAGATTGGCTTTTTCATTCTTTAAATCATTAACCATGTCCTCCAAAACAGCAATCGAATTATAAACCTTGTTCGCTTTAATGTTTATTACTTCCTCATTGAGTACCTCCAGTCTGTTGGTGATATTTTCAGCAAATCTCTCTAGATTCTGTTTAAGTTCGTTCATTTCCGAATCATGATTGCCATTAGCAGTAAAACGTTTGGCACTTCGTTGTGCTATAGTTGAACAATAGCTCACAAACTCCATATTGTTTCGTAGCTGTGCTAAGTGCGTGGTGTCGATATCCTTTCCTTTTCTGAAACCTGAGAGAGAGAGAGTGTGGCAAAGAATGTGGAAAATTTCACATTTCTCTACTCCAGCAGAGGTTGTATAAAGAAGGAGTTTTTTGTAAAGTTTTCTTTTAATAGTAAACAGCAGCAAATATGTAGTTCTTGGTCATCACACATTTGGTCTACATGCTTGTTCCACGCCTGGCAGAGATCGCATGAACCATGAAGCTGGAAACACCAATAGGAAGAGGAAAAGGCCTGCTGCTTTTATACGAAATTACAAACAACAGCTACATGTGGCTAAATCGAGGAAATAATTATGCACATTTGCCCGATGCCATCTTGAATTCATGTCAAAACGCTCTACCGCCCACTTTGCATTTTGCAATAATTAACGATGATTGACATATTTACATGTAACACCAAAAAAATACAACAAAAGTTGTGGATTCACTTTATTGAAAATTTGTAAAGAAAGTAATAGTCTATATTACAGATGTTTGAATAAATATTAGAAATTTTGGTATAACCCCATGCAATATGTTGCTTTTATGTATACTGTTAACCCTTGCACTCAAACAGTTACAGCACAGAATAGATATAGGGCAGAAGGTTCACTCAAGGGTAAAAAGTGCCAGAATGTCAGCCCGACTTCCGGCGTGGCCACCATGTTGAAAGCAACCAAACCAGAGGATATTTTATAGGAGTTAATATGGCGGAATACGAAATAGAGCCACTAAAAGTGCTCTAGCTTTTTATGTATCCAAGCAAAACTCATGATACTTTGAAATATCATAAAGAAGAGGTTGTCCTTCACTATGAGGATGAGAAACGAATTTAAGCGTTGAATTTGGCCATTGTCATACATCGATTAATTTCACCTCGGTCTTTGGCGAATAGTGATAAACATATAAAGTTATATAGCTTATGTGTGGTTAGTCCGATCGCCGTAAAATATGTTTTGAGTGATAGGTTGGTGATATTTCATGGTGTACAAAAGGATTAAGGACGTGAATGCCATGAACAATGAAGGAAATAAATCGAGTTCATCGAACCTTCTGTGAATCTGTGATCAACTATTCAATACCGTGTATTAAATTCAACTTGGCATATTGGCCTACAATCGTTTAATATAAAATAATATTGTGATATGAAAGAAATTGCTGGACCTACTTCTTCAAAAATGAATTTTAGGGATAATGACTTTACAAATTTGGTATCACAAGTGACAAGGCCTCCTATGACATTATCATGACTGTTCATTGATATTGGAAAAATAGTTTAAAGATCAATGCTTGGATGAATCAGGGAACTTCATTTACAAAACAGACAATAAAACACCTGATTTATCTTAACGACAGTTTAAATTATAAATCTGTGAGATTCTAATATACACTCTAGTTTTTAAGATACATATTAACAGTTTACTCTACAATGAGGGGAAAATAATCTGAAGATGAGAATTAATTTTCTCTGTTACTCAAGTTTATGTTACATTTAGCACCAAGTATATTATTGTTGCTATCACCGTAGGGGCTGTTTACATGAGCCCGGCTAGTCATGCAGGCTGGCCCGGTTAACCAGGCTGAAGGCCTGGCTAGCCAGGAGGTTACCTGAGCTGGTGACTTTACATGGAGAAATTTCAGCCCGGTTATCCGGGCATCCCCTTTGACTCAAGTGAGATCTCGGCTAGGCAGATTCTTGTTAAATTATTTGTATTACTGTCGTTCCAATTGAAGTGTTGCTCAAATACTGATTCAATACATTACCTTGGGCTGACCAATTCATTTCATCAAGTTCCTCGAGATATTCATACACTTCCTAGTATAATTGTAAACTTCCTGTTGAATAGTTTGAATGCACCAATCACCTTTGTTGTTTGTGCAACTAACCAATCATAAATAGACAGGAAGTGACCAGAAATGATCAAATACTTGGAATTGGCTCTTTCACAGGAAGTGTATGAATATCTCAAGGAACTTGATGAAATGAATCGGTCAGCCCGAGGTAATGTACTAAATCAATATTTATACATTCAATTTATACACATAGGCCTATGTGTATAAATTGTATCGGATTTATTATGATTATCACAAAACGTAAATAGTGTAAAAATTATTGTATTGTAGGCCTATATTACAACGGAATGACACAACGCTGCAGTATTTGACAAGTGTGCTCTACTCCCGCTCTAGTTGGGGCAAGCCTGAGCGAGCCCCACAGTTTGGTGGCTCATCGAGCTCAAGCGCAATGCATTATGGTGCGTTGTACGTACATACACAGAACTTTTGCTACAGTGATTTAAATCCTACTGGCTTTTCGCCTGCTACAGTGATTTACAGTAAATTTTACGGGCCTTTCGCCTCTCACCGGCTGACAATTTTTCATGCGACATGCTATGAAATATATTCTTCATGCCAAATAACAAATGCAAATTGGAATGGTCAGTATTATTTAGAGTGGTCAGTATTATTAAAGCACATCGCAATTTTACTTTACTCGAGTGAGTTGCGGTTCAAATTCTGATACAAAGGCAAAGCCCGATTTGATTTATCATTTGGGTTGAATATTCTTCTCTAAAAAGACCTTATTTGCAAGTTTTTGCAATCCGGCTCTCTGTATGATGCATTTAATAAATGTTTTGTTTAATTTAATTAATACATGCAGTATATTTCATCGCAATTTTACTTTACATGTCTCTCTTTGTCCTTGTCAATCAAAAACCTTTTTACTATCATAACAATACCATATATGGTCCTTGCATGTTCACACATGAACGTTTATTAATAGATTAACTAATATCAATTAAATAGCTTAATAATTTGTGACAGCGGGTTGTGATAAGGTGGACTTCAATGATTTGGATTCTGCACTTCACTTGGTGGAATTAATATTAGAATGTTAGGGTTTGTAATCCAAGTGAGAATATATACATTTTAAGACCTAACCAGGAACAACTGCAAAAAATGCAGCACAAGGTCCTCTGGTAGGAATTGAACCTACGGCCCTGCGATTTCGGTGCGACTATTAAAATGCGCGGAATGCAAACAATCTTGGAACTTATCCTGAGGCGATACGTTTGCGTGTCCAAAGAAACTCAATTTCTCGTCGTTGACGAACACAGAAAATTAGCATTTTAAGAGCTGTGGCCTTATTACGGCCAGCTAATAAATCAAAATGTTATTCGGATTCAGTATTTATATATAACTATATATTATGATAGTGTTGATGACAGAACGTAGGTGTTAAAACAATCCCATGCAAACGTCCTAAAACAATAGCAAAATATATGCTGGAGAATGAGTTTGATTGCAGTAGCTTACAAACCTAGCAATGGTTTAATTGAGGTCACAATTCTCAAACCTATATAGCAATGCCAATGGTTATATTAATTGTTGATTGCGTGGTTTATAGCAAACAAGAAATTTATTACGGCAAATACATTTAGACCAAAAGATCCAATGCTAATTTTTTATGTCAAAAAATGTGCCAAAGAAGGGGGCTTTATGGTCCAGAAACATCCATATATAAATATTAAGTGCGGCCGCATTAATTTTTTGCTTCGGTGATCGTATTGTTACCGTAGCGTTTTGCATATGCTACAGCACGTTGTCTGTGCTTGACTGCTTGGGTTTTTAATTTTTATTTAGATGCAGTTACATCGCCACGGAATGACTGGTGGAGTTTGTTGAGTGCCCTCGTGTAGTCAACATGGATTATTTTTAAGCAACTGGATAGACATTTAAAAAGAGTTCACTTTGAGATAAGTAAAGAAGAGCACGGTAAATTACCTTCACCAGACTCACAAAAACGAAATATTAAACCGAAATCTTCAAGTGATCAGCATATAAGACAAGCTTGTCGTGTTCCCAGCTGTCGCTATTTCAATGTTATCGTTTCAAGACTATCGGACCACCTACAAAGACGGCACGGATTAACACAATTTGAGGAACACAATTTGTTATATAATATTTGGCAGGACACATGTGAACAAGAAAGAGAAAAAGATAATCCTCCTAGGTATTTAACAGAGAATCATAACAAAAATATGGACTTGATGAACACTTTACAAGGGGCATGTTGCCTGTGATTGGGAATAGATTCAAGCTATATAGGATTATAGCGCTAAAACTTTACATATTTTGTTTGATAAACAATCTCATATTTTATTGAAATTAAAGTTTTCTGATAACAGTTCATTGGCATTGTTTTGCTCTTCCCTTTGCTTTAGCTGTGAGTGTGTTAGATCGGAATTAATTATATTATGAGGAGTATACAGCTTCACTCTTTTTCAAAATAATTACGCTGCGTCCGCGTTAATATGCTTTTAAACATCATGATCTAGACATGTTACGTGGAGGTGTCCAAAGAGTGTCGGCAAAAGATATGCCAAATTTACGACGTGCACGGGAAATAAAAACAGTCTGTATATGTTTTGGAATTCAGTTTTAAATTGTTTCACTCGTGTAGTTGTGTCCATAATTTTTGATGGCGTGCATTGATTAGTGAAATTGTGGAAATAGCGACTGTTTTTATTCCATGTCTGCATCGTAGATTTGGCATTTTCATTCGGTTCAGGCTCAATGAAGTGTTAATATGTCATGATAAAGGAGTGTGCCCATGTTTTATCGCAATCAATCGTGCATCAAGAGGTCAGATTCTGCACTGTTTCCTTTGATGATGATGACTGCCCGAAGATATTTAAATTGGCGGCATCCCTTCCTTTGCGTCATATAGTAGACTTCATAATTGGGAAGATGCCTGTGGATATTCTCATATTCATCAATAAGGGGACAGGTTTGTCCCCACGATTTTCGAAGGCTCAACGTTGATTGGTCAAGACATAAGAAAGAACATGATGTTTTGCCCTGATCTAAATAAGTTCCACAAGAGCATGTGTTATACTGTCTACATGTTAATGATGTTATTTTATAAACCAGCCTAATACTATAACCTGTGCTCCAGTCCACTACACCACAGAATAAAGATCAATACAGAAGACCCACTCAAGGTGCAACATGTCCCTGTTTTTCTATACTGCGCATCTTCCTAGCAAGTTAAAACTGTACAGGAAATCCTGGACAGGAAATCTTTAATATTTAAATCTTTAATAATTTCAACTGTCCATACTGTTATAGAAACGTAGCCATGCTCCTATTCCTATTGAGTCTGTCCTCTTTAATGTGGGACATTCTTCTCTACCCGGTGGCACATCGATTGTTTGTTTTGGTTCATTGTTTGTGTTGGTTTCAAGGATGACAGTGTCATCTGACTGATATTCGTAGTCATCATCTTTTCTTTTTTTCTTTTTTTGTTTCTTCATTTTCTTTTTTGATTTTTTTTCTTTTTTTCTTTTCCTTGTCTTTCTAGCAATAGCCTCATCTGACAGATTAAATTTATATTATTAATGAAATAAAAATTAGATAACAAAATTCCTAAATAGCTAATTATATATAATACTAAAACCTGGATTTATAAAAAGAAGTGTTTCCAAGGGTGGTACCTATACTGTATTTACAAATACAATGATACACAAAAATAACTATTTCCCATGAACATATTTAGTACAACTAGAAATAATTAAATGCTTTCAACAGAAATGCATCATAATGCATCAATGGTTTTTACAAGTCAGTAATCCTATGTGCATCTTAATAATCAGCCTCGTTTGGGTTCAAACTAAGATTCTTTGCAATATCCGTCATACAAACGAGGCTGAGAAGGCTTATTGAGATGCACATAAAAGAATATCTAAATTGGTCTCAATTATGAAAGTGGTGTATGTGAGACCTAGCTACTAGGCAGTGCCACCCACCATCAGTCATAATTTTTTGGATTTACCATGGAAATGACATCAAATGAGGGTTAGAACTCGGTGGTCATGCACTGTACCAATTAATGACTTATATTACATAATTTTATCCCTTAAATTATGCTTCAGCTGTTTTGCAATAATTCAACATTGCAGTATCATTTTCAACATGCATAGTATGGCTGTGTGTTTTGGGATATACAGCATGTGGGCAAATGAAGGTTATCCCAGCATTCCATTGCTGAGTTGAATTTTCACATGTTTCTGTACAGTAGTTATTCCTGCAAATGAGAATGTATTTTGAGTTAAAGTTTACCAACCAAAAGTTTGCAAAAGCCAAGTAAAAGAGCTGAAAAATATTGAAGTAACAGTTATTTTGCAAAAGGGCTTTTCACAAAATGTGTGACGGGGGGGG